CTTCTCTATTTAAAACGATAAGTAATCTGACTTTTCAAGTTGAAAATTTATCAAGAAGTTCATTAGATTCATTAGAATCAATATATAATAATACAATGAATAATATTATCGATTATGTAATTAAAAAAACATGATAAAGGTTACACTTTTAATCAAATTGAAGATATTATCAAAAAGCAATTGTTGCAATTAAATCAGATTATAAATAATCTTTTAAACTGGTTCATCAAAAATCAAAATAAACTGCAATATATATGGTTACTTGGTTTTTTTTATTATCACAATATTGATATAGTTGAAGATAGTTATAAAGCATTTGAATTATTTTTAAATGCAGCAAAATATAATTATTCAATTGCACAAGTTTATGTTGCTAAATGCTATTATGAAGGATATGGAACTGAAAAAAGTTATAAATTAGCTTTTGAGTATTATCATAAATCAGTAGAGAATGGAAGTATTATTGGGCAATTTTATTTAGGACATTGTTATGCATTTGGCATAGGAGTACAGAAAAATAAAGATAAGTCAATAAATTGGTATAAAAAAGCAACTAATAATGGTAATATGATTGCAAGACTCTACTTAGCAAATTGTTATAGATTAGGTGATTTAGTTAAAAAGGATGAAACCAAAGCTTTTGAATATTATATTATATTAGCAAGGAAAGAAATTTCTGATGCACAATATCAACTTGGAAATTGTTATTATAATAGGATTGGAATAGAAATAGATAAGGATAAAGCTTATTATTGGTATAATAAAGCAGCATGCAATGGAAATATTGTTGCAAAATATACTTTAGAGAAAAATTATAATAAAAAAATTAATCTCAAAAAGAAAAAAAATGAAAATCTTTATAAAGTAATATATTTTGAAGGATTAAGACGAATTGGAATATATAGTATTACTAAACTAAATTATAAAAAAGCATATAATTATTTTCACAAAGCAGCGGAAAATGGAAATATAATTGCACAATATAATTTAGGATTTTGCTTTGAAAAAGGTAGAGGTATAAAAAAAAGTGAAAGAAGAGCTTTCAAATTATTTAAAGAATCAGCTGAACAAGGATACTTATATGCACTATATCAACTTGGTTATTGTTATGAATATGGAATTGGAACTGAAAAAGATGAAGTTAAAGCTTTTGAATTATATAAAATCGCAGCTAAAAAAGATTATGTTAAGGCCCAAAATGATTTATTTTTTTTGTTATTATAACAATGATTTGCTTTAGAATTTTGTTGAACTAACTATATACTTGGTATTGTTTATAAAGATGCATCTCATCTTATATGTATTTTGATAGAATGCAATAGTCAACATAATAGAAAACTGAATCAATACGGCAATTAGTGCATTTCGTGAAATTTGAATCATACTGGTTCTATAAATAAAGACACTATTGTAGAACCAGTACATTCCGAGTATGTACAATTTTGAACTGTATTGGACTGGAAGAAATTATTAAAGGATTGCGAAAAATCACCAGAATTTCTAAAATTTATATTGAGTAATTTTTGATTCATTTGTATTTTTACCATAATTAAATTTAATAAAATTAAGTTAAAAATAAAGGAACTACTACATAAAATTAAAAATAATTTAAATGAAAATCATAATTTATTTTAAAAAATATCTCGACCTCTACATTCAATGTTAACTTTCCAAAAAAAAATAATATATTGTTAGTACCTTGCTTGATAAATGTTTTGAGGCGATTGAAGATGCTTTCCATTCTAATTTGAAATCATTACAAACAATATGAAGCTCTATATACAGTAGAACATTTTGCTCAAATTCGAAGAAGTACAGAAAGGTACGAGAATTCGAAAGATTATTACTGCGGTACGATCTGCATAATCATCAATGAAAAAATTTTTATGTATTTCTCGTGACATATTGTTCATTATTTTTATTCAATGATATTTTTGTTAAATTAAATTCAATAGAATTCAATTAATAAGAAAGGTTTGCTACATAATATACAAAAACATTTTATTTTAATAATTTGGGGTAAGCTATTAAAATCACGTTACGGATCATATGATTTACTATGTTCGAAGCTCGATTTTAATAGCAAACCTTCCATATGCTCGTAACTCGATTTTAATAGCAAATCCCCCATTTGTAAAAAAAAAAAATAATAATGAAGACTACTGTAAGCAATACATCAATAATTTTCCATTTTTAAAAACATTAAATAAAATACGTTATATGATCGTCTTGTCACGTGGCTAGTAAAAGAACGTACTTTCGTCCTGATTATAGGACCAGTACGGAACGGAACAAATTTCACAAAATGCTATATAAAATAATATAACAATATTAAAACATTATCTATTGTGAAACTACAAAAATAAAAAAAGAGCAAATGTTAAAGATCCCGCCTTAAAGATGAGAAACGGCAATTTAATAAAGAATTGAAAAAAAACAAAAGTATTATAAGAAATGCGATGAATTTAATGAACCTAATCGGAATTTATGTTACACAAAGCTTTAAATTCGATTCGAATCTTTTTTTATATTTACTATTAAAATAAACTCAAATTTCTAAAAGATTCACACCAATATTGATCTTATTTTTCTTCATTTTTTTTGGTTGGGAACTATTCTTAAGAACCGTTGCAAAGTAACTACGTTCATTTTTTAAGAATATTCCTTCTTAAAAATCAATATTTACAAAAAATTTTAGATTCTTGATTGAATTTTTTTTTTTACAAAACGAAATATCTTAACGTAACTTTGTTCTTAAACTGTATATTTTTGCTGTTTGAAGGTAAATTGACGTTTCAATAATGCAGTGAATCATTTTGAAGTGTACATATTAGCATACATCATTATAATTGCCGAAGGTTTTCAAAAAAAAAATTAAATCGCGCAAATCAAATCAAATTTCTGCAAATATGCGAAATCCACCCAACAGAAAAAAATACTAATTCTTAAAATAAACAAAGAACTTGCACAGATGAATGATAATGAATTGCTATTGATCTATCAAAGTATCCTACAACCATCTAATGATAGAAAGGTATCCAAACTTAATCTGATCGTTATGTAACGATAAATATCTCCAATATATAAATTTTTATAGTTATCTGACATAGTTTTGATTAATTAGACTGTGTAACATCCAAATAATTTATCCTTGAAATAAAAAATTGAAAACTCCTATGTAGAGGTTAAAACGTTATTTTATTTAACCGGTTAAAATAGATGTATTTAATTCGGCCGAAATTCAATTTCCGGCCAAATTTATAGTACTTTCCTATGTTAATTTTAACCGGCTAATTAACCGGTTAAAAAATACTTTGACCGGTAATTAACCGGTCAAAGAATTTTTGGTCGGTTCCAACCTCTACTCCTATGAATGCATTATTATTTTATTCCATCTTATATGGGTAATAATATTTGCTGCTAAATGATTTAGATTCTGGCTCATATGCATAAACTCCTTTGACACAATGCTTTCCATAATGTATTAAGAACTCTTTTAAAATCTGACCAGCTGAACCACCTTCGAATTTACTACATTTCTTCTTTTAAACCATCATTTGATCCTCCAATTAAACTTTACTTCTTCCGAAAGTTTCATAATCCTTCTCGACGTCCTTTTTAAATGTTAAAATAATAATAATAATCCATTCGCATTTCTTGTTCTGGACTTGTAAATTCTCACTATATTCATGATTCGTCTAAGATGTTCTTCCACTATTTACAACTCTTTAAAAGTTCTGTTTCGAGCTCGAAAATTTTATAATATTATAATATTACAAATGTGTTTTGACATTATATAATAACAATAAATTTAGTTCACTTTGTTACGAAATAATAATTGTATTTGTAAAATATTAAAATGAAGAATTGATAGTTCCTTTTAAGATTGTGGCTCCTATTGTAACTTATTATCTAATGCAAGGCCAGTGCGGAGTACGAATAAATTTTTTTGTTAGAAAAAAGAATTGTAAATCAATATAAATATTTGGTGATTGAACATTTCCACAAAAGCGATAATTACATTATATTTGTTCATATTTGAGAGAATATGTGACTAGGTATTAACTACTCAATTAATATGCATATTGTCGAAAAACGATCATTATATATTGATCTATTTTTACAAGTTCTATCTTGGATTTTTCATTATTTTGTTAGTTCTAGCATCTCCTAAGTTTTATTTAATGACTGATAAATAAACTGCGATTTCGCTCCTAGAACAAAAAAATTCTTAAAACGCTTTATAATTAACTAGGGATGTTAGGCGGTCTTTAACCGGTCCTTACTATTTAAAAGATTACTAATAAAGCACTATTGTTGAATGAAATTATGCATAACGCACCAGCTACTAATCTACATTTTTTTTAGAATATATTATTAATAGATTCATTTAAACTGATTCACTAGAATTTATAGAATCTATTCTAGAGTAAACCACAAATAATTCTAATAACAAGCTTCATCTGCGTTCAATACACTTGAGAACAACGTCTTACCATATTTGGCTCTAATAAATTGTATATTGGTGCATGAATTCACAGTTTGTTTGGGCACAGTAAATTTGTGGCAAACTTCTTTTTCGGCTAACTTTATTTAGACATATTACAAGAATTCTATCGGTCCCTAGGTTTCAAAACAGACTTATATTCCTGCGGTGTTCTATATGACATGAAGATGCCCATAACGTCAAATACACTTCCTGACCTCTAACCCTAGCGAACAGCTCATGTCTTCTCACATGATCCGATCTCCTATGGTTCAATAAAGTTGGAACAATTCTTGTCTTTGGATCGGTTAAATAATGGTGATCTTTGCTATTTAAATAATATTTTTTTTTTGGAAATTTTCAATCGTTATATATAAAAGGGTTGGGTTTACATAGCACCACTTTTTACAAGAGCAACTTTTTTGGGTAAAACTATTTATTCTAGTATACATTTAATTACTTTTATTTACTAATAAAATGAAGTGTCATTTACTAAATTTATATTTTTCAGAAAATGAAGAAATTTATCATTAGAGAATGGGCTGAGCTTATTTCGGTCCCTATTACCTTAAATGAACAATCTCAACAAGTCTTTGAGCATGCTGACTTGCCCGAGGTGAACGATGAACTATCAGTGACATTACGACTTAAACTTCAGAGTCATTCTTCCAGTTGGGCTATTATTTTTCACAAAGGTAACATTTCTTTTTTTATTATTAGAATTTTATTTACTTGTTCAAAGGTATAATAAAAAAACATTTAGGTACCGAACCGTTTATACGAACTCCTAGGCTCGTGTTGTTACCAAATAAATCCTCATTACATGCTCGGTTCACTGGCAACTGGACTAATAATGCAGGAATTTATGAGCTCGGTGATGGACTTTTGTTGAACAAATGGTACCATATCGCTTATACGCTTTCTGATTCCAAAAAAAGATTAGACATCTACATTGACGGACAATGGTTCGGATTCTATGGTATCCAGAACGTTACAACGGAAAATGTTGTCTTCAATGAAGGACCATTATATATCGGACGTTCTTTCGACAATGGATTTAATGGTGAAATTTGGTATGACTCAATATAGCAATAAAGCTTAGATAACAAAAATATTAAAATTAATAAACATTTTTTTGAATAGTAATTTTCGCTATTTTAATTGGCGTTTACGTGCCGAAGAAGTGAAGGAAGATTTTATTGTAAGTTATTTTATATTTCGTTTAGTAAACATGCACCTAAGCTTACTCTGATAACTTTATCTAAATAATTTATTACAGAATAAATTAATTGAAAATGGGTCGAAGGTCGCTCTTGTTCATGTACTTACTAAAAAATATTTAACTACTAAAGGGATTAGATATCCAAAAGGTCAAGTTATGGTATTTACCAAATTTAATTTTTTTTTATTAGTTATATTTGAAATCTTAACATTGTAAGCTTTATTTACAAAACTTGCAAAGGCTGTTTGTAATGGTCAGGAATTAGATTTGAAAAATGATGTTTTTACTGTTATTGAAGCTCATGGGACGAGTGTTAACGCGGGTAGCCCGGTGCCATTTAATACAACTATTGGATTTAAGCATCAAGCGACAAAGGCATTTTTACATTCTCATAATTTTAATAGTGGATGTACATCGATTACAAACCATTTGCAGGGTATGATTGAAATTTATTATATACGTAATCATTATGCATTAAATAATAAAATTAAAAATATTTTAGTGACCATCTGGGATGGTAGAGATGGTAACGATGACTGGGTCATTCGACGTTATGGTTCTAAAGATAACTCGGGTTATTTGTCGAATGGTGATATAATTAGCCTACACCATGTACTCAATGATAGATCCCTTTATAGTCATCCCGTATTATTGGATGATGGAACTCAAGAAGTTTCTTGTCATGGAAATGGAAATGTTGAAAATAATAAGGTACTTACTTTAAAGTTTAACTCAATATATAATATACATTAAAAAGAAATATCATAAATTCCTTTTTTTTTAGTGGCGCATTGAATTAATTGATGATTCGAAAATTTAAACTCTATACCAACTATATTACTAAATTTTTCAAACGTCGTATAATATTTTATTGTACATGGCATATTATTTATAACAAACAAAAAATAAAGATTACCAGAGATCAATTGACAAAAAACAAATTAGATAAATTTTAACGCGTTATGGATATTTTTTTGCACAAAAATAGAGTAGGCTAATATTCGCACTACAAAAAAGTATTATAAGTCGAATCCTTAAAAATGAATTATCCTGCGATAAATTATCCTAGGTTATTATAAAATTGAAGGATTAATTTTGTTGAGAAATATTACATTATTTAGTTTTTGTTTCTGAAGACGAATTGGATTTTACGGTACAATTAACCGACCTAACTAATCTCATTTTGTCAAAAGCCGAAACTAATTTTCAGTTTCGACGGATTTCGATCGAATCAAACCGAACTCATTTAGCGAATTTAGAATGAAGTTCAAATTATTGGCTTTATTGCAATAAAGTTTCAGTTATTAACATTTATTCAAATACTTAATAATAAGAATTATAATTTCGTAATTTAATTATTCATTACTTTTTTTTTTATTTACTTAACGTCAGGTAATTTGAATTAAAACATTTCAGATATAAGAATGATTTGGTTTAGATTCTAAATTTCTTGAAAATTGTATTTGTAGCAGAACAACTGTTGCTATTAATGCAGTTTTACAATCCCGTAAGGTTTTCCAAAAAGTATTCAAACGACGAAAGTATCAAATTTAATATATAAATATTAATTGAAAAGTAATTAAATATGTGAACTCATTTAATTGTGATTGAAGTGCACATAATCTTTTCCGAATGATCCAATCATCGCAGAAGAAAAAATTAAAGATTTACGGAAGAGCTCTTTAACTAATTTCATATTAAATAAAACACGGCGTTACTTACCACTTCTTAAATTTTATATGAAAGTTATTCGAGGATCTATCCAGGTGGTTCATATCAAATTCTTATATTCTAATCTATAAATATTCTATATTTTCTTTTTTTTTTTTTTAAAAAAAAAAAAAGGAATGTGAACTGAACACTAGATCCAATCGACGGTGAACATTTGCAGTTCCTGTAGATGGTAAAGTACATCAGAGGTTATGGTGTCCTAATTTTCCAGTGGATTCTAAGTTCTAGAGGATAATGTATTTAATTAATGCGGAAAAAGTTCAAGGAGCTTTTCAGGTTATTATTAAAATTATCATCATTAAATATTTATTCTGTGATTCGGCTGAAGCAATACATTCATCTCATGGTGACGCTTCAAATCGTTTTGGGTAGACTATACAAATATTGTTCGGTGATTTCGATAGTTACGTTAACCGACTCGGGGTGTTAATGAAGAAAATATACCTTTTTTAATATGTAAGGTATGATGAATTTATGATTTAATTAAATATAGGATCATGAGTCCTAGATGCGGTATAGTTTTAGACATTTATTCAAGACTATTTGAAATCTAACAAAGGTATTTTATTTAGTCTTTATAAAATATATTCTCAAGCTGCGCTGTACAACAATAACTTTGAAAAAATAATTTTTTCTTTAATTATAATCTTAAGAAAATATTTTAACCTATTGAAATGTCAAATGGTATATATATATTTGTTGATTTATTAATGATTAAATTATTATTTAATTAACATTTGATTTGAGATTCCAATTTTTGGTTATTTATGACATAAAACGGATTTCCATCTCACATTTTCATTACCATCTGAACGTATACATTGATTTATCGAATTTGTCATATTTTAAATCACAGAATAAAATCAAGAAAGATAAAGAGAGAAACAACTGATATTTCTCCATAAAGAATCTAATTGAGGAAATATATGAACCAGAAGTTAATAAGCTCTAACGTAAAAAGCTAAGAATGTATTTTTGTAGTGATTCAATCATTTTCAAACCCATTTCCAGGAAATTTATTACTAAAACAAGATCCTAATAGCGAGTTTAGTTATGTTGCGCCAAACTTAATTAATGTAACCGTCTAAATGCATGTGAATGTTATTGTTTCGCGCAAATATATGTGAATATGACTCAATGAAATCATGATTTAAAAATCACGTACAAAAAAATATACTGTATATAAGCACGTAATAACCATCTTCTCTTTCGTAAACAAAAAAAATATATATATTTCTTTCTTTTAGCAACATCAAATCTTTTGCAAAAATTAAAAAAAATATTTGCATAATAAAATTTATCAAAAAACAAAAATGAATAAAGGTAGAGTTTACAAAAATATGAGTGGAAGTGACTATAAGTAGAAGTACCTTCCTGTGAAAGTCACCTTCATTCCTTTAAAAAAATTTTGATAAAGTTCTACCGTTTTTGACGGAGGAACGGTTGTCTTCTTTTGTAAAAATCAAAAAAATGTTTCATTTCTTTGATTCACCTCTGAAATACTAAAATATAATTATGGTTTTCTACAGTTATTAGATGTCAATGCGGAATGCTCCGTATAAATAGATGGTGCGATATAAGGTCTAACCTTTATTGATATGTAGAATTGGGTCAGAAGCATAATTGAACTTCCAATCGTACATATAAAGAAAAAAAGGAAAAAGGTGATTATAATTAATATAAATAATTTTAATTTATAAATTTAATCAATTCTTAATAAATGTGAACTTCATTTTAGTTTTGCCCACATCCATTTCAAAAACCACATTAAGGGAAGACAATTTGATGGACCATAAGGACCAATTAAATTTAAAGAATCATTGCAACATGGTTTGATAAACAAAAGTCCGTTACATTGATTTTATCAGTTCAAACAAATTATTCTATAATATTATTATTAATATAACCAAGTATAACGATACTTCTATCGTATTGGACATGTGATTAGACGTTAATGAATTATTAGATTTGTAAAATTTTAACCGATACAGTTTATATAAATCATTTTGATTAAAAATAAAACATTTTGATCTAGTAAAACAAATTTTAGTATTTTGAAAACAATATTTAAAATAAAAAAATTTATATAAATAACTTTACAATGCCTTAGAACTGTTAGTGTGAAATAATCTGTAACAGGAATAAATATCAGTCAAATATATAATCCTGAAGGTGAAATGTCCCCGTAAGTATAGAATGAATGTCGTTAAAATGATTGTGCCTGAAACCATTTGTTGGTGAGAAGAACTAGATTCATTTGTAAAAGTTCTATCCCTAAAATTCAAAAATATATAAGAAAACATGTAAACTTATTCATAATTTTCTATATTATCTGATTGTAAAGGGAATATTAACATTCATTAACGAAATCTTTTAACTTTCAAATTGATCAATTTAAATTCTATCAAATATTTTTTTTAGAACTTGTTCACAACAAATAATTATAAAATTAGAATATAGAAAATTTTAACTAATAAAAAAGAAAGGAAAAAAAAATAAAATAAAAAGTGAATTCAATATTCTACTGATGGTTTGTAATCTTTTTTAAGATTCGTATATAAATATTTGAAATGCTGGTTTGCTCTTTTAACTGGTTATCGGTAGTGGTTAACTGGGTTTGGGTTTCTTTTAACTCTTTAAGAATTTGCTCCTGTTTTTTCTCTATAACACTATTTCCAGTCTGTCAGATTTACTATATTTACTCTAGACAATCATTTGAATGTGATAAAATAGAGTTTAATCCCAGATAGGACGACGCCTGCCTCATATCAAACATCAAAGCAACAATGAGATCATCAAAATTTGTCATTGCGATTCATATTGGCTAAATTCGGACCGTCATGAAGTGCCGTTGAAGCTTTTTCAAACATTATGAAATAAATCACATTTTAATCTACTTGATGATTCGTATAGATCTCCAATTTTAAATCAAATATAAGGAAAATGTAATTTTAAGATACATAGTTCCAATAACCCGCATTCTTAATCAAACGCAACATTTTTCACAACCCTGGTTAAGAACAAGATCACCACCAAAGTACAAGCAGAATCCGACGTCTCAGTTGAAACATTGCGACGATGGGAAGAATCGCTATCGTCGGAATCTTTGGAGACAACCATCAGGCACAGTACACGCAAACGTCCAAGATCTGTTTCGCCAGAGTCAGTTCAGAGTATCAACGAGATGACCTTGAATAACAAATGGAAATCTCTGACAGCACTAGCAAGAATATGAAATTGTCAGCGATATCAGCTCAGGACTCAACTGGAAACGCGAGGGATTTGTTGCCCTTCTGGAACGACACACAAGTAGTGGTTACCCGAAAGGTTTGAGTTTAATATTTTTATTTGCTTTGATTTTTATTGCTTTTATTATTTTACTAACTTTTTTTATTAGGACCGATTGTGTCCTTGATATTCGTGATGAAGCAATGAATGATTTGCTTAAAGGATATTTTCAAACTTTGCTTCAGATCATAATAAATTTAAGATGAAATTTCGATCTATAAAGATCCTCGACAATCTATTACAATTTTATCAAAACATTGGGGTAGAACTAGTGAGTATATGCTTTTTTTTTGTAAGATAAAAGCAGCTGAATCTTTTCCAGTAAAGTTCAATTATTGATGCACGACTTGTGGTAAATCAGCTTGGTGAGTTTTATATTGCATTCCCTAACCACTTGAAATTCGGGCCAAAAGTCAAGGTCCTTTATTTTCAGGAGTACAAAATGTATTTATTTTATTATTTATTTTAATATTATATTATATTTATACTATCTATTTTTTAAAAAAAGAAGGATCAGAAGTGATTGTTTTGGATCCAGATGTATGCACTTTCATAAATTTAATTCTCATAATTAATTAAAAAATTTTTTATTTTATATTATAAATATTTGTATAAACTACTAAAATACTTTTATTTGCAAAATATTCTATGCTTTCTTTTTCTATACTAATATATAATTATTTAATAAATGAAATTGAAGCATATTATGAAAATTTAAATAGTTTTAATAATATAATAATTGTGTTAAAGTAAATTAGAGAAACTTAAGTTATATTATAAAAAATCAGATAAAACTATTAT